TGTCAACTCAAAGTGTATTTAACACATATCTTTATGTTCGATAAGATAAGTTTTCATTTTCTGTTTATATGAAGCAATTAGTTAAAGTTTGAACTTTGATTGTTAAAATATTTCGATTCATTAACTATAATTGCTAAATTTGTGGAGAAACTTCAGTGTCACTAACTTAATAGTGAACAAATTTACTGAAATAAAGAGCCACCATTAATTATCTCCACATTTTAACTATTATTTAATTATCAATAATAGCTAAAATATGAAAAAAAATTGTGGAGAGTCTTATATAAAACAGTTATTTGAACCTTGTAACTATAATTGATAATTGTCAAAATTCACGACCGCTACAATTTTGTGTTTTTTTAATCAAAATTAAGAATTACTGTTATTCAAGTGTTGGTTCAATTAGTAAAGATATATAAAAACGCGTATCAATTATCGCTATATCATAGAACATCTAAACATTTCTATTTCTTAAGAACGCTTCTAAAAAAAGTATGCATTGTTTTCGTTTTGTAACACGCAATTAAAGTTTAAGTATTGATCATTAAAATATTTGAATTAATTAACTATAATTAGAATAATAGAAGTTGTGATCAATTTTGGTGCCACTACACTTAATAGTAAGTAAACCCACTGAAATAAAGAGTTGTCATTGGAAGAATATCAAATCATTTCCATATTTTAACTATTATTTAATTATCAATAATAGCTAAAACGTTAAAAAAATGTGAGACATTTGAAAAAACTTGTGTAATTTTTTATACAATTTGTATATTGCACTTAAATGTATTATTTAAAATGACGGATTGGTTTTAACCAATTGTTTGATTCTTGTAACTATATTTGATAATTGTTAAAGCTCAGGACCGTTCGAATTGTCTCTTTTTTAATTAAAATTAAGAATTACTATTACTCAATTGTCGATTCAATTAGTAACGATATATAAAAGCGCGTATCAGTTATAGCTAATATCATAGAGCATCTAAACACTTCTAATTCTTAAAAACGCTTCTAAGAAAAGTATGCATTTTTTTCGTTTGCGAAATGAATAGTTAAAATCTAAGTATTAATTATTAAAATATTTGGATTAATTAGTTATAATTGATAAAAGTTGTGAAGTAATTTTAGTGTCACTACACTCAATAGTACGTATACCCACTAAAATAAAGAGTTGTAATTGGAAAAACATTAAATTATTTCCATATTTTAACTATTATTTAATTATCAATAACAGTTAAAACGTTAAAAAAATGCTCGACATTCCAAAAAATTTGTGGATTCTTTTATACAATTTTTATATTGCATTTGAGTATAATATTTGAAAAGACGGGTTGCTTTTAACCAATTATTTGATTCTTGTAACTATATTTGATAATTGTCAAAGCTCACGACCGTTCGAATTGTCTCTTTTTTAATCAAAATTAAGAATTATTATTGTTCAAGTGTCGATTCAATTAGTGCCAATATATAAAAACGCGTATCACTCGTAGCTAATATTATTGAGTATCTAAGCACTTCGAATTCTTAAAAACGCTTCTACGAAAAGTATGTATTTTTTTCGTTTATGAAACAAATAGTTAAAGTCTAAGTATTGATCACTAAATTATTTGCATTAATTAGCTATAATTGATAAAAGTTGTGAAGTAATTTTAGTGCCCCTACACTTAATAATAAGTAAACCCACTGAAATAAAGAGTTGTCTTTACATTATTTCCATATTTTAACTATTATTTAATTATCAATAACAGCTAAAACGTTAAAAAAATGTTCGACATTTCAAAAAATTTGTGGAGTCTCTTATACAATTTTTATATTGCTATTGAATGTAATACTTAAAATAACGGGTTGCTTTTAACCAATTATTTGATTCTTGTAACTATATTTGATAATTGTTAAAATTTACGGCTGTTCGAATTTTGTTTCCTTTTTTTATTGAAAAATAAGAATTACGATTGTTTAAGTGTTGCTTCAATTAGTAAAGATATATAAAAACGGTTATCAATTATAGCTATATCATAGAACATCTAAACACTTCTAATTCTTAAAATCGCTTCTAAGAAAAGTATGTATTTTTTTTTCGTTTATGAAATAAATAGTTAGTCTAAAAGTATTGATTATTAAAATATTTGGATTAATTAGCTATAACTGATAGAAGTTGTGAAGTAATTTTAATGCCACTACATTTAATAGTACCTATACCCACTGAAATAAAGAGATGTCACTAGAAAAACATTAAATTATTTCCATATTTTAACTATTATTTAATTATCAATAGTAGCTAAAACATTAAAAAAATGTTCGACATTACAAAAAACTTGTGGATTTTTTTATAAAATTTGTATATTGCATTTGAGTGTAATATTTAAAATGGCGGGTTGCTTTTAACCAATTATTTGATTCTTGCAACTATATTTGATAATTGTTTTACTCAAATTTTGTTTCCTTTTTTATCGAAAAATAAGAATTACTATTGTTTAAGTGTTGCTTCGATTAGTAAAGATATATAAAAACGGGTATCAATTATAGCTATATGATAGAGTATCTAAACACTTCTAATTCTTAAAAACGCATGCAAGAAAAGTATGTATTTTTTTCGTTTATGAAACAAGTGGTTAAAGTTTATAGGTATTGAACCATTAAAATATTTGAATTCATTAACTATAATTGATAGAAGTTGTGAAGTAATTTCAGTGCCCCTACACTTATAGTAAGTAAACCTACTGAAATAAAGAGCTGTCATTGAAAAAACATTACATTATTTCCATATTTTAACTATTATTTAATTATCAATAACAGCTAAAACGTTAAAAAAATGTTCGACATCTCAAAAAATTTATGAAGTCTTTTATACAATTTTTGTGTTGCATTTGAGTGTAATATTTAAAACGACGAGTTGCTTTTAACCAATTATTTGATTCTTGTAACTATATTTGATAATTGTCAAAGCTCACGACCGTTCGAATTGTCTCTTTTTTAATCAAAATTAAGAATTATTATTGCTCAAGTGTTGATTCAATTAGTAACGATATATAAAAACGCGTTTTTTTTTGTTTATGAAAGTCTTGAGCACTAAAATATTTGGATTAATTAGCTATAATTGATAAAAGTTGTGGAGTAATTTTAGTGGCACTACACTCAATGGTACGTATACCCACTGAAATAAAGAGTTGTCATTGGAAAAACATTAAATTATTTCCATATTTTAACTATTATTTAATGATCAATAACAGTTAATACGTTAAAAAAATGCTCGACATTCCAAAAAATTTGTGGAGTTTTTTATACAATTTTTATATTGCATTTGAGTATAATATTTGAAATGACGGGTTGGTTTTAGATTCTTCTAACTATATTTGATAATTGTCAAAGTTCACGACTGTTCGAATTTTGTTTCTTTTTTGATAAAAGTTAGGAATTACAAGTATTAGTTCAATTAGTATATAAATATAAAATAAATGAAAACGCGTATCAGTTATAGCTATATCATAGGGCATCTAATTTTATGAACGCTTTGAAGAAAATAGGTATTTTTTTTGTTTATGAAACAATTAGTTGAAGTTTATTTATCGATAGTTAAAATATTGTAATTAACTATAATTGATAGCAGTTGTGAAGAAACTGCAATCTCACTGTAATTTATAATAAATACATCCACTGAAAACCGTTAAGTTGTTTCTAGTTTAACTCATTGATAAATATCAGTGATAGCTAAATCGGCACAAAAATAAATGTTCTTAATTAATTGTTTAAGTTTTGGTGATTCCTGGTTCAATTAGTAAATATAGAAACAACGCGTATCAATTATACCTATATGAAAGGGCATGTAAATACCTCTAATTCTTAAGAACACTCTTCAGAAAAATAGATTTTTTTTATTTAAATGAAATAATTAGTTAAAGTTTGATTATTGATAGCTAAAAAGCTGAAAAGTAAAATTATTTATTTCTTCAGTTTAACTAGGTGATAAATATCAGTGATCATTCTTTTTACTATTCATTAATCTACTAAAGAGGTAATTCAAATATCAATTATAGCAAATATCTCCAAAAAACTGCGGTGACATTTTTGTTTGATATTTAATTATTTAATTGATAAACCTTAATAAAACTGAGTATCAATTATGGTTAATATTGAAAGTTGAAAACACGATACGAGTCTTAAAAGTTTGGTTATTTTTGTGTGAAAACAAAATAATTTAGTAAATTTAATAAACACGTTTTTAGAGTATGTGAAAAATTAACTATAATTGATAACTTTTATAAATAATCTTTTTCTCTGCTGCTTTCCAATTTCTCGTTATATATTTCATGAAAGGGATGAACTAAGTTTTAGCTATTTTTTCATTTATAACTAGTAGATGTTAAGAAAATAGCTAAGGGTTATAGTTAATATGCAAAAAAAATATCTTTACTGTAACCGTTGCTATTTGTTGATAAATGAAACTAATGTCTTTTGTAAGTTCATATGTTTGGTAGTCAATAAAAGCTGAGTTTAATAACAAATTAAATATTGAACCAGTCCTAAGTCCTTCGTCCATAGTATTTCGCTATTTCGGCATATTTAGATAAAAAAATTATTTGTACCGTTGTTAGAAAGTTGACGATAGTTTTTTGGTGTCACATGCTTGTCATATGTGCACAGCATACTGGAATTATATGTACTAGAAAATCGTAACAATTTGGACTCCAAGGAATGCGGAAATAAAAAAATTAATCTGAAATCAGTTATAAAAATAAAGCTTACAATGAACTGTCTTTTTATGTGTCACCCGCTCCCCCGCCCCCCGTCACCTCATCTCCATCGCCGTTCCTATCCATTACACCTCCCATCTCGCCATCACGTACATGTCGATCCTTTAATTGTTCCCTCGTCCGTTGACCCCCTTCAAACCATCGACTAATATCTAATATATGAACATGCATATTTCAGCTTATTATAAACACAGCAAGCCATGCATTATTGACAATTGACAGGCGATCATGATGCTTATCTCGTTGCAGGTAAAATCTTCGAGAATTTCACGTTGAACCCGAACCCGGCCAACAGCAAGGTCGACGGCGGCTCGCCCCCCAGCCAGCCCCCCACGCCCCCCAGCACGCCGCTGTCCCCCAAGTCCGCGGCCGACTCCAACAAATATACCTCAAGCATCCCCAACATTCCTAACTTAACGATAACGCACAATTCTAGTCCGAGCATACCTCAAAATTTCGCTAGTGTTACGCAGAAGACCCCCCTCAACTTGGGGGTCAAACCAAAAACGACGTACGCCAATGGGCTGCAGGGGGAGCTGGCGTACGGGGACGAGAAGATGGGGGAGAAGGGGGCACAGGCGTCCAGGGTGAGTTCTAAGTTTGCAACATTTTTTTAATAGAGTCGAAAATTTTTGTTAAAACAGTGTTCGATGGCGTTTTGTAGATCGCCCTGTATATGTGTGTCGTTAATTTCCTCTGGAATTCCGCGAGTCACACGCTGATGGGTTCCATTGTGGATTTTAGTATGAGCGTGAAATTGAAATTATTTAAATTATTTCATTAATTTCTTCGGTGTTCCATTTATTATTATTGTGTGCTTGCGACACCAAACGGTTTCTAAATAACAGACTGTTGCAGTGGATTTCAAAAGAGAGCTTTTTGTTCGTTTTGTTTGGATTTCGGGTAGATTCTTACGAACGATAGTTCGATTTCGAAACGGTCAAATTGAAAAAGAAAAAACGGACAATAAAAATTGATTAAAATTGGGCAAGAGTAATTATGTAATTGACAATTAGGAGGATTGTGGGTGTCGTTATTAATATCGGAGAGGTGTGATTACAATGAGCGAAATTCAAAGGAAAGAAAGAATTGTTTTCTTCCTTGGTGCTTTTTTTTCTACAGTTTTTGTTTTTGTTTCTATTTAAGCGTAGTCGTTCCAATAAATTACCAATCTGGTTTTATTTTATCAAGGTGATGTGCTATTGTTCTGTTATTACTGTAAGTTAATTAACTATCACTGATAAATTTGTGTTTTTTTTTGTAATAAAAAACTAACATGGCACAAATTAATAATCGGTTACCCCAAATCCGCACAAGTCCCACAAACAAGATAATTGTCCACAGAATACAATAGTGAAAATAATAGTTAATTAGTTAAAAAGTAAAAAATAAATATTCTAATTTTAGTTTAACTATATTTGAAAATTTTCCAAATGATCTCAAGTATTCGACAAGTGCCTATTTTTAATTTTTATTAACTACTTTGTCAGAATATATTGTTTAGTTATATGAATGTCAATTATAGCTAATACCTTAAGTAAAACAAGCTTTAAAAATTACATTTATTTCATTGACCCTACATATGTATGAACAGTATTCTAGCTTGAAATCAAAATAAAATTAGTTAGTTAATTTTGGTTTCTCCATTTCTCCATTATTTGAATTATTAACTAAAATTGATAATTTAGACTATTAAACTAACTAATGCAACATCGCTACAATTTATCAAAGTGATGAAATACTGTTAAATAAATGTAGACATTTTGTCACTTTAACCACTGAAGGTAAATAGAGATATATAAATCTCAATTATAGTTAATATGTTAAAAGGAAAACAGCTATTTCACTTTTAACTATAATTTATGTTATTCAATTTTAAGTGACAAACTTATACACTTGTAGTTATCACACCATATATTTTCTTAACTATAACCCAACTAAAAAAGCAACTGGTACCAAATGTGGTTAATCAAAGGGCAGAGTACCTATTTTTTTACTTGTCCCTTCAAGAATTTTCTTTTGTTTTTACCTTATTTTCGACACTACGCCGGTTTCTTTAACCTTCAGAAAAAATATCAATTATAGTTAAAATGCAAAAAAATACAGACAAGATTATCAATGGACTACAAGTAGAAATGTTTTACCAATAATTAAAACATTTTCTAGTTCAATATTAACTATAATTGATACACTTTTGATATCACTGATTTTTTTGTAATTTACTTAATTAAAACAGCACCAATCCGAATGTATCAAAAGCACAAATTAACTAATAATTACCCTCAAATAAATAAGAGTAAACAACATTCTATCTTTTGTGTATTTTATCAATCAAACAAGACAATTGTCAGCACAATACAATAGTGAAAATAATAGTTAATTAGTTAAAAAGTTCAAAATAAGTTTTCTAATTTACTTTAACTATAACTGATAAGCTTCAAAAGTACGATAACTATCCGACAAGTATATATTTTTTTATTTTCTTAACTATCATTCTCTATATTTTGTCAGACTATATTGTTTAATTATACGAATGTGTCAGCAGTATATATAGTTAACACCTTAAATACAACAAGTTTTAAAAATTACTCAAGGCTGAAGTCAAAATAAAATTAGTTACTAAATTTTGGTCCTTACATTTCTCTATTATTTGACTTATTAACTAAAATTGATAATTTTGACTATTAAATGAACATCGCTACAATTTATCAAAGTATTGAGACATTATTAAACAAATGTAGACATTTTGTTACTTTAACAACTGAAGGTAAATAGAGGTATATAAGTATAGATAATATCAATTATAGCTGATTTTTGACCTTCAGAAAAAATATCAATAATAGTTAAAATGCAAAAAAAATACAGACAAGATTATCAATTATCAGGGAGGTGACTTCAATTAGCAATTTTAACGAAATATGAAGATGATATATAGAGATAAATGATATAGGAACACGTAGGACACTTTTTCTAGTCCAGTAATAACTATAATTGATACATTTTTGATATCAATAATATTAATGTACATCTGTATTGTTTTTTTATAGTTTATTTAACTAAACCAGTACCAATCCGAATGTATCAAAGCACAAATTAACTACTAGTTACCCCAAATCAATAAACTATACAACAATCTCTCTTTTTGTCTATTAAAAGAAAATATCAATTGTGGCTAGTAAGGAAAAAAACTGAAATCAGCATAAGTCCAACAAATGACAATTGTCATTGCAATATAATAGTGAAAATAATAGTTAATTAGTTGAATTTTAAATTAGTCCAAGATAAATTTTCTAATTTAATTTTAGCTATAACTGATAAGCTTCCAAAGTTCCACAAGTAATCGACAAGTGTATATTTTCCGATTTTCTTAACTATTATTCTCTATTATGTTGTCAGAATAGATTGTTTAGATATGAATGTGTCAGTTATAGCTAATACCTTAAACAAAACAGGCTTTAAAAATTACTTGTATTTCATTAGCACTACACATGTATGAAAGGTATTCAAGTTTGAAGTCAAAATAAAATTAGTTAGTTTAGTTTTGGTCCTTCCATTTCTCCAGTTTTTGAATTATTAGCTAAAATTGATAATTTAGACTATTAAACGCACTACTGAAACATCACTACAATTTATCAAAATAATGAGTAGGTACTATTAAATAAATGTAGAGATTTTGTGACTTCAACCTCTGAAGGTAAATAGAGGTGCATATGTATCAATTATAGCTAATGTGTTAAAAGGAAAACAGCTGTTTTGTCTTTTAACTATAATTTAGGTTACTTAATTTTAAATGATATACTTGTGCACTTGTAGTTATCATACAATATATTTTGGTAACTATAACCCAACTAAAAAACCATACATCGAATCGACAGAAGCAGTTAATACAAAATGTTGTTAATCCAAAGTCATAGTACATTTTTTTGACTTGTCTTATCAGGAATTTTCTTTTGTTTTTACTTCATTTCAGACAATTCGCGCTCTTTTTTTAACCTTGAGAAAAAATATCAATTATAGTTAACATGCAAAAAATACAGATGCGATTATCAATTGCAGGAATTGTAACTAGAAATTTTAACGAAATAGATAATAGAATTAAATGAAATTATCAACAATTATAGCGAAAGTATATGAACACGTAAGAGACATTTTGCAGTTTAGTATTAACTATAATTGATACATTTTTGATATCACTAATATAAATGCACTTTTGTAGCGTTTTTTTTTTGTGATTTACTTAAGTAAAACAGCACCAAACCAAATATATCGAAAAAGCACAAATTAACTGCTAGTTACCCCAAATCGTTAAAGTATATATCATTCTCTCTTTTTGTCCATTTAATAGAAATATCAATTATGGTTAGGAAATAACTAAAAAAACTTACGTCAACAGAGGTCCAACAAACAAGACAATTGTCAATATTTCCACGTCAGTAGCTACTATTAAATAGGAAAATAATAGTTAATTATGTAAATTGTGTCCATATGGAAGATAACTTGTTAAGTTAATGTCTAAAATTCCAACATAAATTTGTAATTGTGTTTAACTATAATTGAGAAATAAGATAAATTGTCTAATCGACTTTAACTATAATTGATAAACTTCTAAAGTGCATCAAGTATTTAACAAGTGTGTATTTTTGTTTTTTTTTATTTTTCTTAACTATAACTGACAGATTTCCAAAGTCCTACAATAGGTCATGAAGCGATCAGTGATATTTTTTAGTACAATTTTGAGAAAAAGTTTAGAAACAGACAGGTTTAAAGAAAAATTATTTCCTACATTTTAGAAACAATTTTTTTCGCGACATCATTTGAACTTATTAACTAAAATTGATAATTGGTCTATTCAACGAACAAGTCCAATATCACTAATTTTATCAAAGTGATGAGCCACTATTAAATAAATATGGATGTTTTGTTAATTTTAACCATTTTTAAATGGAGGTGTGTATCAGTTATGGCTTTAACTATAATTTAAGTTACTCAGTGATATACTTGTTGTAGCTGTCATGTCATATTTTCTAACTATAACCTAACTATAAAAGCATACAGAAAAAGTCAGTACAAAATGTTTTTTAACCTTAAAAAAATTATCAATAATAGTTAACATGGAAAAACAGGAAATTACTAGCCAAAATTGATAAGTTATTCCACTAAACTGTAGAAATCTTACTTTAACTACCAAAGATAAATAAAGATGTGTTTCAGTTATAGCTATATCTAGTATGTTAAGGAAAAACTTACACTATCGAAAATGTATACAAGTTTGCCTTAGTTGTAATATAAATCATTAATTTTGGGTGATTTAGTGGTAGTTTTTCAATTACATATCACTCAACTAAATTACAGAAAGTATTTATTTATATAATGAAATGTAATTAATTGTCACTAACACCAATGAAACGTCTTTCGAAGTTATTGGCTAACAGTAGTTAGTTGAAAGAATCCACTTTGTGTCATTCTGATAGAGCTAAAATATCCATTTGGACGAAACGACTGCGATAAGCGTTGACAGTTTTATTAATTGAACGAAATAAGTTTATCCCGAATTCCAAATTTTTTGCAAGAAATCTAGTGCAAGCCTGTCTCAGTCGTGTCGTTATTAATTCAAGGCGCATTTCATTCCGTCCCCATCATGTAGTTCGATGTAATATCAAAAATAAACATCGTGTTTCACTTTAATACTCCATAATGAAGCGCGCAACAGAAATCCGGTTGTAAACCGTTTAAAAATCAGTCTCACACCAAAGCAAACAACAAGAAGCCGGTCATTACGATTCCATTTTCCTGAATTCGTTACTTTTATTTACTTAAAGAGTTTCCGCCGAAAAATCACCATCTCACCCAGGCCATTGTTCCGTCCTTAATTACCTTTCACGCCAATTTTGATAACAAACAAGAAAACCCGTGTGAGAATCCCCGTTTCATTTAGATCCTCTCTAAGCACAATTAAAACGCAAATTACGCTTGTTTGCGTTTTTACCGCACATTTCTCTAACTGTACCTCCGAAAATCTGAGCCATGAGAATCGACGTGTGTGCTTTACATATTTTCACACAAATTTTATAACCTCTTCATTATTTATGTTTCGCTTAAAAGCCACTCGGCATTGTTTGTCGCGCGGTTACTGTTATTCCCGGCCGTTTTTTGCGCCTTTTAACTCTAATTTGCATTAATTAGTGGATCTAATTGATGCTCGAGCAAATTGAGGTAATAACAGTACGGGGGCTTGATTTTGCGGCGCGAGCGGCAGGCGAGCCCAAAAATCAACAAAACACCAAGATCTCTACATTGTTCACAAAGTTATAATATTTTAGCACTGATTTTGTAAAAAGATAATTGGTTGAACCTTTCTAGTTATAGATATTATTTTACATTTTGAGGAATTGATGTGAAGATTATTTCTATCACCGTAATTTTTAAACGAGTCAATGCTGTCTTGTAACTTAATGCAATCAAAATATGAATTTATAACGTTAATAATCTTCAAATCATCTGCATAAACATAAAACTTACAACTGACGTATTTATGTATATCATTGAAAAATATTATAAACAAGAGTGGACCCAAATTGGAGCCTTGTGTAACCCCACTATCACAATACCGTACTAGGAAGAATAGAATGATTCAGCACATCAAAGGCTTCAGTTAGGTCTGTGTATACAACATCAACGTGTTTCTCAGAATATAAAACATTACATGTAAATTATACATAATGTTCATAGAGGTTAGTGAACGTAGATTTCCTTGTACAAAACCATGCTGACTTTTACTGGTTAGTGATTACTGATTATAGAGAACAGTGCCATCTTGGTACGGATTCTAGGAAAGATCAAAATTGTATTTGTAATTATTATTGTTATATTGAAGGAAATAAAATAGATCGTCTAGGAATGTTTATACTTTTTTCGAAAATCTAGATTTTCATAAAATTCAAAAATGCCTTTTTGTTTTCTTAATTAAAGTCAATGTATCTTGAAAGTTTTAAATGTTTTTTATTCCTTGTAGAGAAATAAGCATTTTGCAATTAAGCTCCGCCCCTTTGACTCACGACGAATAAAAAAATCATCACAACTGAGACAGGGTGGGCGGGCGGGGCTTAAGTTTTGTCTTTATTTCTTAATATCTGTAGTCATTTTTTCACAACAAGAAACATAGAACATGGTTAAAATCGAACATTTTTGCGAGGAAATATGGATCTTGTAATTACAGGGCGGAGCCTAATAACATGTTTTAAGTTTCATCTTGTGAAAAGAAGTCTACAAATATTAAAACAAAAAGGCAAAATGAAAGCCCGCCCACCCGCCCTATCTCAATTGTGATGATTTTTTTTATTCGCCGTGCGTCAATGGGGCGGAGATTAACTGCAAAATACTTGTTTGTTTCCAAAGGAATTAAAAACATGTTTTTGAATATCGTCTTGTTCAAAAAATACTATCAATACTGAAAAAAAAAGCAAAATATAAACCCCGCCCACCCACCCCCCTCTCAATTGTGATGATTTCTTTATTCTTAGATACTTAAAACGCGTTTAAAATGATAAATTTTTGTAAGCAAATCTGGATTTTGGAATCAAGCTCCGCCCCTAGGTCTACCAACGAATGGAAACTTCATTACTATTTAGATTAGGGCAGGTATGGGTGGGCTTTAATTTTTTCTTAATATCCATAGTATTCTGTGAACAACACGATACTCAAAAACATGATTTACATTCTCGTAGAGAAATAAGGATTTTGCAGTTAAACTCCGCCCCTTGGTTCAGGACAAATAAAAAAAAATAATCACAATAGAGAAGGGCGGGTGGGCGGGGCAACTTTTTTGTCTTTTTTTTCTTAATATGTGTAGTCATCTTTTCACAACAAGAAACATATTTAAAATGGTAAATTTGTATAGGGAAATTTCGATTTTGCAATTACGCTCCGCCCCTCGGTCTGACAACGAATGAGAAATTCATCACAATTGAGATCGAGACAGATGGGAGGGGCTTCTCTTTTGCTTTTCTTTTTAAATTAATACATTTAGTTTTCTTTGTATGACACGAGTACTTAAGAACATATTGCACATTCTATGTAAAGGTATAACCGTTAATAAACATTACATTACATTGTAATTTCTCGTAGAAAAATACGGATTTTATAACTAAGCTCCGCCCCTCGGCTTACGACGAATAAAAAAATATCATCAGAATTGAGATAAGGCGGGTGGGCGGGGCTTCTATTTTGCAAGAAACTTAAAACATGGTAAAAATGGTACATTTTTACGAGGAAATATGGATTTTGTAATTACGGAGCGGAGCCTAATAACATGTTTTAAGTTTCATCTTATGAAAAGAAGTCTACACACATTAAAACAAAAAGGCAAAATGAAAGCCCGCCCACCCGCCCTATCTCAATTGTGATGATTTTTTTATTCGTCGTGAGTCAAGGGGGCGGAGCTTAACTGCAAAATACTTGTTTCTCTACAAAAAATTAAAAACGTATTTTTGAGTATCGTGTTGTTCAAAAAATACTATATATTAAGAAAAAAAAGGCAAAATATATAGCCCGCCCACCCACCCCGTCTCAATTGTGATGATCTGTTTTATTCCTAGAAACTTGATTCACGTTTAAAATGGTAAATTTTTGTAAGGAAATATGGATTTTGCAATTAGGCTCCGCCCCTAGATCTACCAACGAATGCAAAATTCATTACTATTTAGATCAGGGCATGTATGGGTGGAGTTTTATCTTTAGTTTTAATTTTTTCTAAATATACATAGTAGTGTTTGAATAACACCATACTCAAAAACATGTTTTTAATTTCTCGTTGAGAAATAAAGATTTTGCAGTTAAGCTCCGCCCACTTGACTCACGACGAATACAAAAATTCATCACAATAGAGATCGGGTGGGTGGGCGGGGCTAAATTTTGCCTGGTTTTCTTAGTATGTGTAGACTTATTTCGACAACAAGAAACTTAAGAAATAATCATAAAGTTGAATTCTGCTAGTATTAAAATGACTAACTTTTATAGAAATAAAGTGTTTAATTTTTTTTTTGTCTCAGGGAATCTTCCCCACGAACATCCTCCCCTTCGCGGCACAACTCAAGACTGACTCCACCAGCCCGCCGCCCTTCGACCAGAGCCCCCTCAACGGTAAGTGACGAACGCCTCTGACGCGTCAACTCCACAGCAACAGGTGGTTGCGCCGCCGTAAATCTCGCGTCGTCGGCGGTTTTTGTCGAAAGTGCGCCGCCACTGAGGTCGCGACGACGACCAAGTCGATCCGAGGGTCGAGGGATTTCAGATTTTAAATTAATCAACCGGTTTGGTTTTACAGCGATAAAACACTGTCAGGAGCAGTCGAAAACGGGTGATAAAACGTCGCCGGGATGTTTTTCGTGATGAAAGCGCTACTACTTGTTGATTTTTAGGCGCGATTTATTTTTCGTTATTTTTTTAATTGAGCAGATGTTCTGTTTTAGCGCTGTGTCACTATGTGGAAAGATATACGGCCGATAAAATGTTTCCGGATCGTTTTTCGTCGATAAAAACGCTTGTTACATTGTAATTTATCCAAAAACGATTTGTTCTGAAAACTGTTTTTACGTGAACAAGTTGTAATTAACAATCGAAATGGATGAAAATCGAAACGGACTAATTATTTTTTAATAGAGCGATTCGGTATGGTGGCAACATAAAATTTCGTGTGGGACTCGACCAGTTCCTTAATAATTCTTCCCAAAAGGATAGTTAAAATTCAAAGTCTTGTAAACACGACTCCGTAATTCTGTAAAATTTGTCGGTGCTAGCGTTGGAACCTAATTAAAATTTATTACAACCATTAATTATCATCATTCCTCGTAATTAGTAAAATTATTAATAAATTAACACTAAAACTCGTCGGAAACATCCCATAATTTAACCTCCGCCACATTAAAAATTTCAGCAACAGCGTAAACACGATCCGATCGCAAAAAAATCCCCAGGCGGCTCTGGAATCCGCTCGGATTAGTCCGATCACATTCCTGTCACGATCGCAGATAAGTCAAAATCGCGGCGGCCTTGAAACGTCACTGCTGCCAACCTCGGCCGTTTTCCCAAAATCGGCGAATTAATTAATCGCCGCTCGGCCAGCATCCGTCGAAATTTTCCTCAACTAATAAAAGTCAAGTGGATGTGAAACGAAATTAAATCTGTCACAGTCAATTTAAGGCAATTTGTGTATATCACAGTTGGCTGTTGTCATCGCGGACAAAAACCCAGCTACATCAAGCGTGCCGTGCTGATTCACGGCAACAAAAGACGCTCGGCGTCGGTGAAGACGCTAATTAGTCGGATAAGTCTATTTTAACGCCGAGAAAATTTTTGCTCAAATAGAATTTCGAGTCCGAGGCGACGGCCAAAAATTTGGCATTTGAGTTTTAAAAATCCACAAGTTGGCTTCGGATAAACCTGCATTATGCTCTTTAATTAGAATTTGAATGGCCGGTCGCGGAGCGCTCACAGTCTAATTAAAATCTGGGAAAGGTTGCGTAAGCGTGAGTCACGGGTTCGATGTAGGAGACGCGGGTTCGACGCAGGGCGTCTACGTCGAAAATATGGCCGATTTCGTCGAAGCTTTTCGGTATTATCGGATTTTTATTTGAAAGCTGTTGGTATTTAATTAACTGCACTTTACTCGAGTAAAAATGTTTTACGACGTGTGTTTACCGATGTTGAGGTCGAGCGTCTTTCTCTGGTGAGAATAGGGAAGATAAACACGTCGTAAATTTTCCGGCTTTTATGCAAATAAATAAATTCGTGATAAAATATCACTACTTGGTTTATTGCGATGAAGGACTGGAGAAGTAGTTTCACTACGCAACAACTTGTTCGGTTTTATTCATGATTTTTTCACACTTTTATTACTCTCAAAATTACTACTATGTCGCTATGTTAACATGGTTCTAATGTGATCATGATCAATGAACGATAAAATATTTGCTTCAGGTTTCTCGGATAGTGAGTCACCGATTTCACGAAACACCACTAATCTCCCATTCTTACTTAAGTCAAAGCTTAAATATTTCTCAGAATAAATAAAAACATACTTGTGTGTTTGTGCTATAAAGCAACTACTCAGCTTAATTAATAATAATAATAAATCTATTTCGACATTTTGTCTAATTATTTTGAGTCACTGACCTCAACATTTTCTTCATACGTCACTACACAAAAGTTCAAAATTTTAATTTAGTCATAATTAACCACATAAAAAGACAACTAACAAAAAGCGAATCACGTTTTTTGCGGTTAAAATTGATGTTCGTAGATTTTTAATGAATTATTGTCTCACTCGTGTAGCAAATTTGATATGCAATATATTAAAACAGAACTGAAAAAAAAGTTCGGTATGCGGGTTCAGTTATTTAATTAGGTGCTTTATCACAGCACATCCTTAGAGACTGATAAACTTTTTAATTATCGTGATGAATATTACTCATATATTGTTAAGACATGTATCCTAACAATTAAGAACAAGTTTGCAGACACTCAGTTAACCGAACACGTGATAAAAGTCAGCCAATCAAATGTTCAGGTTCGCCGATTAAATTTTAACTCGAGTTAAAAATAATTCAATTTCTATAAATATCAATAAGGTGATAAAATTGTAGCAGACAAATCAAAAAAAAAACTGACTTATAAAAGTGTTGATAATTTAGACGAAAATCTTAGCACCTAAAGTAAAAGATATAAAGATCCTGGAGCGCTACTTTTAAATATTAGAATTAAAGTGAACACTCACGATTTATTTTTAGAACATCCTCTACATTTTTGTTAACTAAGAACAGTGAAACTTTTGTCACTCTTCTAATCCCCAGCTGTTCATGAGAGGCTTCCAATATGCACTTTTAGAAACAAAAAGTCAATGTCATATCTTTTATTAACAAAAACAACAAAAAAAAAGATCAACTTAATAGTGTAACAATTAAACATTCCCCTAGTGTCTTTTATTTAGAATCCAAAAAAATCTCGAGAGCTTTTCGTCTATTTTTCTCTAAAAATATTAAAGACTCTCTGGAGAGAATCTCGGGTCTCCCTAGTGTCTTTTTTTAAAGAATTCCAATGAATCCTGGGAGCTTTTAGTGTCTTTTTCTGCTGAAAGTACTAAATAATCTCAGGAGTCCCTAATGTCTTTTTCTTAGGTTGCGAAAGAATTTTTTTTTTTAAATACCAAACAATCTTGAGGCCTTTTAGTGTATTTTTCTCTAAGAATCTCTGGAGCTCCAAGTGTCTTTTTCTTTAAGAATGCAAAAGAATCTCGAGAGTTCCTAGTATCTTTTTTTTAAGAATGCAAAAGAATCTCGAGTGCCCCTATAGTTTTTTTTTTAAGAATTCCAGCCGTCCCTAAAGAATTTCGAGAAATCTCCGAATTTTTTTTAAAGAATATGAAAGACTCTTGGGACTCCTTAATCTTTATTTTTAAAGAATGTGAAAGAATCGCGGGGACCTGAAGTGTCTTTTTTTTAAATGGAAAAGAATCTCGGGGGTCCCCAAGTCTTTTTCTTGAAGAATGCGGAAGAATCTCGGGAGACCCTAGTATCTTTTTTTAAGAATGCTAAAGAATCTCGAGTGCCTCTATTGTCTTTTTATTTAAGAATTTCAAAGAATCTCGGTCGTCTCTAAAAAAATTCAGGAGATCCCCGTGTCTTTTTTAAATATTAAAAATTCTCGGGATTTTTTAATGTTCTTTTTTAAAAATGTGAAAGAATCTGGGGCACCTGCAGTGCTTTTTTTAAGAAGCCAAAAGAATCTCGAAAGCCCCTAGTGTCTTTTTATTTAAGAATTCCAAAGAGTCTCGGTTGATTCTAAAGAAAGTTCAGGAGATCCCTGTGTCTTTTTTTTAGAATAGGAAAGATTCTCGGGATTCTGTAATGTTCATTTTTAAAGAATGTGAAAGAATCTCGGGAACCTGCAGTATCTTTTTTTAAGAATCCAATAGAATCTCGGGGGCTTGTTCTCTAATAATACTAAAGAATCTCGGGGGTCTCCAGTGTTTTTTTCTTTAAGAATGCAAAAGAATCTCGGAGACTCCGAGTGTCTTTTTTAAGAATGCTAAAGAATCTCTGGACCCCAAGTGTCTTTTTCTTAGGATGCGAGAGAATTTCGGGAGCCCATAGTCTCCTTTTTTTTTAAGAATCTAAAAGAATCTCAGGGACCTCAAGTGTATTTTTTAACAATTATGAAGAATCTCAGGGGGTGCCCTTGGTGTCTTTTTTTTTAGAATCCAAAAGAATCTCGGTGGCTTTTAGTGCCTCTTTCTCTAAAAATATTAAAGAATCTCTGCACTCCAAGTGGCTTTTTCTTTAAGAATACCAAATAATCTTGGGGCCTTTTAGTGTCTTTTTTAAGAATGCAAAAAAATCTCGGAGAACCCTGTTGTCTTTTTCTAAGAATCGAAAAGAATTTCAGAGGTCTTTGGAATTTTTTTCTCTAAGAATATTAAAAAATTTCTGGGGCCTCTAGTGCCTTTATTTTTAAAAATGTGAAGGAATCTCGAGGGCTCCTAGTGTCTTTTTCTTAGATTGCGAAAAAATCTCGAGGATCCCTAGTGTCTTTCTCTTTAAGAAGGGGAAAGAATCTCGGGGACTCCTAGTGACTTTTTTTAAGAATGCGAAAAAATCTCGGGGATCCCTAGTGTCTTTTTTTAAGAATCGAAAAGAATGTCGGGGGCCTTTAGTATCTTTTTCTTTAAGAATGGTAAGGATTCTAGAGGGCCCCAAGCGTCTTTTTTAAGAAAGCGAAAAAGATTCGAGGGTTCCTAGTATCTTTTTTTAAGAATCGTAAAGACTTTCGGGGCCTTTAGTACTGTTAGTGGTTTTTCTTTAAAGAATGTGAAAGAACCTCGAGGGCCTCTAGTGTCTTTTTCTTAGATTTCTAAAGAATCTCGAGGATCCTTGGTGTCTTTTTCTTTAAGAATCGAAAAGAATTTCGGGGGCCTTTAGTATCTTTTTCTCATGGAATACTAAAGAATTTCTGGGACCTTTACTGGCTTTTTTTAAAAATGCAAAAAATCTCGAGGATTCCTAGTGTCCTTTTCTTTAAGAATGGGAAAGAAATTTATTTTGGAAGGTTGAGTGGAATAGCCTATGGCTAGACTCCGCCTAATCATG